TAAAATAAAAATAACTGATGTCAATTAAAAAAGAAAGAAAGAAAGAAAGAAAGAAAGAAAGAAAGAAAGAAAGAAAGAAAGAGAGAGAAAAGGAATTTTTAAGTTTAACCACAAAACGATCTTCTTTGCAGTGAGGATATGGCTGATGTCCTTGGGAATATCTTGGAGTTTTTTGGATACTAACATGAGCTATCTTACCAGTAGCAGAACTGTCAAAAACAACGTGTTTTTTTCTCATCTAGAAGAAAACTTTCTTAGAAATGCTGTTCCTTTTTATGAAGGTATCATTGCTTTTTGATAGTTTCTCCACATTCAGGCCTGAGTCAAAGCTCTGACTGGAGTTGCCAGCCGCATGACAGGTGACCCTACAGGTGCTGAGCTCTGCTGTCCAGGACCTGTCCTGCCTGTAGGGGGTCCACAAGGAAACTCTGGACAGCCTCCAAGTTGTCCCCTTCCCTGCTCCACTCTGGGTTGAGCTATAAAGCTTCTGCCTAAATTACAGCTCCATTTTAGAACCTACAGGTGTTTTGAAGAGTTTGTTTCTAACCTAAGATAAACAACTTTATGGGACCATTTATCTCCACCCACGTGGATCCCAAAATACTTCCAGATGAAGGAAATGTCCCACCCAGCTTTGGGTGCTGAGAGACAGCCAGCCAGCCACTGGATCCAAGGCCCAGCCTTCTCTAAGCAGTCTGATTCTCAGAGGCCAGTCCCCAGCTCCGGAGGCACGGGGGAGGGAGGTGTCAAGGACCATGGCAAAGAGAGAGGACTCACTGTGTCTGCAGATGGCAGTGGGCAGGGAGGTCAGCACACGGCCCACTTTCTGGACCTCTCTCCAAATTCTGCTAGAGAAGGAATTCAGGAGACAAGCAAGGAATATCCTGCGTCTCCGAGGACCTTGCCCTGTCCTCCACAAGTCCTCTGTGGACTTTTAGCTATAGTCACTTCAAACCAAAAACACTGTCATGGCCTCTTGCTCAGCCCCAGCTCAGGAGTGGCTCGCGGAGGAGCTAGAGATGCCAATGGGTTTGCTGAAAAGTAATCTTTTACTACAAAGCTCTTTTTAACCCACAGAATTCAGATCCGTAGGCCCTCCAGATCACTTTCTCAAAAAGTAAAACTCCAAGGCCATCCTCCCTGGGCATCCAGCCTTGGGGGAATCAGTGTTCCACTCCGCGCCTCGGTGGCCCCGCAGCGAGCCGGACCGCGGGCCGCGCAGAGCGCAGAGCGGAGCCGCTAGGGTTTCACCCCCACCACCCCCGCCAACCCCGCCCCGCGGCCGGCTGGATGCACCCGCAGCCCCGCCGCCCTCCCGCCCCCGCCCGCGCCCAGGCTGAATTCCTAGCATAGTTTTCCCCAGCAGCTGGACCCACCGCGGGGTCAACCCGGAGCTGGGGGCAGCGACCCGACGGAATCGAGAAGGCTCCCCGCCTCGCCAGGTCCTGCCCGCCTCCCGACTCGCCCCAGCGCCCACACAGCCCAGGCCGACCTCGGAATTGTGCTGCGGGAGCTAGCCCGCGGGATGCCGCCTCCGCCTGCGGCCCGGGCCTGGGGGTCCTGGGTGCCTCGGGCTCCCCTCCCGGGACAACGGTTCCACCTTCTCGGCGGAGAGGCGGAGCCTCCTCCCAGAGCCCCTGGGACCAGCTATTTTTACGTTGGTAACGGGTTGGGAAGGAGGGAATGCCACGTTTGATTTGTAAAGAAAATCCAGGATCCCGAGGAACAGTTCACTGGCTTCTTGGGGTGAAGCTTGGGGCCCCCACCCGCACACACTGCACCCTGGGGGGGGGGGTGTCCAGCAGCTTGCCTGCTGTGACAGCTGCAGCTGGTTCCCTCTCAGCAGACAGCCCTGCCACGTGCCCAAAACGTCTGAGAACTTCCTGAGCTTTGACTAGAAACCAGATTAGGAAAGTCTTTGGCCTGGGCTCCAGTCTCCTCCATGAGCAACCACTTTCCTGGCTGTTTTCTTGCCTTGCCTCAGAGAGCTCAGCGGGGTCTGCAGAAGGACACTCATTTTCTCTCTCGTAGTACCCCATCTCTTGTCATCTTTATTATGCCCAGACTGATAGTAAAGAAAACTGTTTTGTTTTGTTTTGTTCTGTTCTGTTCTGTTCTGTTCTTCCTCCCATCACAACCTCAATCTGCCAAGCCCTGCATCTTGGGCCACCCTAAGCAGCAGTGTTTGGGAGTAAGTGTTGGCAGGGAGGTGGAGAGATAAATTTGTGTGCCTTGCCTTGCTGGTGGGAATACAAAATGGTAGAGCCCCTGTGGAAAACAGAATAGTGTTTTCTCAGAAAATTAAAAATAACTTCAGCAGTTTATGAATAGACATTCATTTCTCTCAGTTCTGGAGCTGAGAGGTTCAAGATAAAGGCTCCAGGAAATTCAGGGTCTGGTGGAAGTCTGTTTCCTGCTAGATTGACTGGTGGCTCACTGTGTCCTCACAGAGTGGAGGGGTCTAGGTAGTTCTCTGGGGTCTGTTTTACTAAGGTACTGAGCCCAGAGATGAGGCTTAAGCCCTCATGGCCTACTCACCAGTAAGAGGCCCCAACTCTAATTCCATAAACCTGGAAGCCTGGACTCAACCCCATTTAAGAGGAACATAAACTCTCAGACCAAAACAAAACATCATGCTGCTGTGGTTTGGATAAGCGTCCCCCAAAGGTCTAGGTGGTAAAGAAAGGCCTGGTCTGCAGCCCATACTGTTGGGAGGGAGTAGAACCAAGGCAAGTTCCCAGCAGGTACCAGCAGGCTGCCCAGCAGGAGGTGAGAGCAGACCTCCAGGGAAGGTGTCCCCCAGGCTTGCACTACTATGTGAACTCGGCCTCCTGTCAGATCAGTGTGGTTAGTGGCTCATAAAGGGTGGACCCTACTGCGCACTGGAGTTGGAGCTAAGGTGATGGTGCTAGTGTGGGGAAATGTAACCAGTAGGTACCAGACATATATTAATAAAAGGCGGGAAGTTTTTTAAATCCCCCATCCATAGAATTTTTTTTTCCCACAAAACAGAGCCTTGTTGCTAAAAAGGTTGGGACTCGCCACTTTAAGAATAGGGCCTGGTAAGGGTTTTAGGTCACTGGTAAATAGGATCTTGGAAATAGGTGATGCTTCTCTTTCCTCTCTCCTGATTTCCTGCCAGAAGGAAAGCAGTTTTGCTCTGACACACACTCCTGCCATGCTGTGCTGCCCTAGGCCCAGAGCAGTGGGGCTAACCTCTAAAACCTTTTCTCTTTGTAAGTTGGTAGACACAGGGCTTTGTTATGGTGACAGAGAGCAAACACATGCTAAATGAAATAAGCCAGTCACAAATGAAAATGTATTATTTATTTCTATTTACATGAGATATCTAGAAATAGTTGACATTATAGAGACAGGAAGTAGACTAGTGATTATCAGAGGCTCCAGGAAAATAGGAATTTGCTATTTAATGGAAACAGTTTCAGTTTGAAAATGATCAAGAAGCCCCAGAGATGGAACAGTGGTGGCTGCATACCAACATGAATGTGCTTAATGTCACTCCACTGCACACTCAAGTGGTTAAAGTGGCAAATTTTATGTTGTATACATTTTATTTTATTTTATTTGTTAATGTACTTGGTTGTTGCATGGTCTCACTACACAGCTCGAACTCATGGTGATCCTCCTGCTTTCAGTCTCTCCTGCGCTGTGATTACAGGGGTGTGCTACCACGCCTAGACTCAGCTTCCAGCTCAGCGTGCCCGGGGACTGGGCCGGCGGGGCATGTGGTACCTGAGATTGAACTGCAGTCCCTGAGCTTGCCTAAGCTTGCCTAAGCAGGTGTTTAGTCTGCTGAGCTATCTTGCCAGCCCCTGCTCTATACATTTCTACACAATTTTTCAGTGCTACATCCCCATCCGTTATTTAATTTTTTTTTTTTAATGGGGAAAATGGTATCAGAACCAAGTAAGGATCTCTATAAATCATCTCTGATGTTTCCCCCGCACACATTTCTCCCAGTCAGGGCCATTTCACTGGGTGGCAGAGAAATATCCGGGCTTTGGAGACAAAGGCACACCTACCTTTCTTATTCCAAGATGTATGACCTCAAAAAAGTCACTTACCTCTCTGAGCTCCAGTTTTGTTATCTGTAAAGTGGGAAAAATAAGCTGGATATGGGGACGTATATTTGTAATCCCAGCACTCTAAAAGGCTGAGGAGCATAACTTCAAGCCCAGTCTGGGCAATTTGGCAACTTAATGAGAAATTGTCTCAAATGGAAAAAAAAAAAGGATCAGGGGACACAACCCAGAGCAAAGATCCTGAAGAAGAGAAAGGAAAACCAGACTCTACCTAGCAGACCTGTCATGAGAATCAAATTAGCTCAGGTATTACCCACCCTCAGTACTCAGTGATGTCGCCTTTAGACTTCACAGTGTCTATAAAATCACTTGAATATATGCTTCCTATTCTCTTCCCATTGAATCCCTAAAGATTAGTGAAAGTATCTATCCTGGCTACTTTCTCATCACAGGGACAAAATACCCAACAGCCACAACTTTAAAAAGATAATTATTTTGGCTCTTGGTTTTTTTTTTAATTTTATTTATTCATTTATTTATTTTGTGTGTGTGTTGCCAGCTCAGCCCACCAGGGGGCGGGGCTGGCTGGCATGTGGTGCTGGGGGATTGAACCGCTGTCCCTGTGCTTAGCTTGTTCTAAGTAGGTGCTTTAGACCACTGAGCCATCTCACCAGCCCTGGCTCTTGGTTTTAGAGAATTCAGTCCCTAGTGAGCTGGCTCCAGGGCAGGACAGGCATGGTAGGCAAGTGTGGCGGAGGAAGGCTGTTCACAGCATGGCGGCCAGGAAGCGATGGAGAAGGCAGGAGTGGGAGGGAACAAGCTGCGCCCTTCTGAGTCACTAAGTGCCCACAGTGAACCACCTCTTCCAACCAGGACCTGCCTGCTAAAAGCACATTCAGCTGTGACCTCATCAGTGATTAACCCACAGGTAAGGACAGAACTCTGTACTTTAATCACCTGCCAAAAGCCACATCTCTGAACACAAGACTTTTGGTGGACATTCTACATCTAAACCACAACAGTAGCTCCGAGAGTATCTTTGCATGTGTTTCTGTGTATTACTTCCACAAGCCTCAATTTTCTCATGTTGTAAGTGGGAGGTCCTCTTTTGTATGGTTGTTGTGATCAAGCAGACTTGATATGTGCCCAGGCCTACTTACCCAAGCCTCCATTGGGAGCTGACCAAGCCCTTCCACAGATGGAGCCCTTGTATCTTTCCCTTGCTGGGCCTTGGTTCAGTACCTACCACAGGGATGTTCTGAGTGCTTATCATGTGCCAAAATCTATTTTAGTTCTAAAGGTACCAAAAATATATTAGGGACCAGATCACTGTACTGTGAGCTAGACACTCACTGGCTGGCAGTGATAGGGCAGTGTCTGAAATGAGCTACCCCAGCAACTTCCTGCCCAGGATTCGAGCCTTTCTGGCAATTCCCCTTTGCCAGATCTATTGGAAATAAAGGTATGAAAATATTAGAAAATAACTTTGTAATACAGCAATATTTTGTTTATGAATTTATGGCATTGCAAGATCTAACATCTGATCTAAAAGTGGTGAGAGCAGAAGCAGTGTTTCAAGATATCTGCAATGCAATATGAAAATACCAGTGATAAACATCCCAGGCCATTAAACAGTGACATAATCACATATACTACTAATACAACCATGGTTTGTGGCCTACATTCATAACTGAAGGAAATGCTTTTTAATTAATAGTGAGAAAATAAAAATATACATTCACAGGCTGCCAAAATCTATTCATAGTGCCAGGGAGATAGCTCAGTAGAATAAGTGCCTGCCTGGCAAACACAAGGTTCTGAGTTCAATCCTCGGTACCACAAGAAAAAAAAAATCTATTCACAGACCCCCAAGTTAAAGATTCCTATTCCAGTATCATTCAGGATGAGCCATGCCACTTAGGTGAGAAGTTAAATGACCAGCATAGTAGGATAGTATGCAAGCATGGAATAAAACCCAAAAGAAATAAACAAAAAGAGAGACTGCATTTCATAAAGTTTGAAAACATATATGGTGAAAACCTAATAAGTGAAATTAAAAAACAAAGGACAGACAAAAAATTGCAACATAAAAATAGCATATTAGTATTCTTAATATACAGAGTGGTTACAAATCAATAAAAAAAACAACAGTTGAATGAACAAAACATATTTCATAGAATGAGAAAATATGTATTGCCAACCAAAGATGTAAAACACTCAACTTTACCAAATTTAACTTGAAAATTACATCAACTAATCGTCCTCAACAGCATCACCATATTTGAATTACTCTTTGTATTGTACTAACTACATTTATTATGTAATAATGGATTAATTTATTTCTCATATTTTATTAATCAAAAATTTGCTTTACTGCCAGCAAAGATCCCTATACATATCAAGTTATCATTATTTTCCCAGTAAGTTCATATAATCACAGTCCCACATAAGATATGTGACACATAGGTTGACCTATTTATTTAGTCTCATTACAAGACACTTCATATATTTTGAAACATTATAAATATTTCTAATCAGGTCCTTCAAAACCCTGGTGGTCTTGGATGTTCCCTGAAGAATTATTTATGCGGCCACCTTTAGATGTGGAAATGATGTAGTCAGCCTCTGTGCCCCTGCTCTCTTGAGCAGGCTAACCCTAGTAATCCTGGCCTGTGGAGAGCTGAAAACCAGCCGACCTTCCAGGGATACAACCAGAGCCTGATCACGGGGTATGGAAGGGTCCCCAGAACCTAGTGGGGGTGTCAGAAAGGCAAGAGCAATAAATAAGCCTGTGGCAGGAGACATAACTTGCATTTTTTAATAGGGCTTTGAAAATACTGATTCTTAAAGTGAAAAATACTAAAATAAACAAAATTGGCTAAGTGTACCTTAACAAAACATCATACTTTTATATTTGGAGACAAACAAAAAAAATTCCCATACAGAGAATTACCAAAAGGAAAGTTCTAAAAAATCTGAAGAAAAAAGGGTGGGAGCCAGGGAGATAGCTCAGTGGAAAAGTGCTTGCCTGGCAAGCATAAGGTCCTGAGTTCAATCCCTGGAAAAAAAAAAAAAAAAAAAAAAAAACCTTGGCTGATGAGTATTGCTATTCACACCTTCTGAAAGAAGAGACAAATTTAACTTTTTAATTAAAAAGTAAGCATATATGGTGTACAGCAATGTTTCAAAATAAAGGGAACAAATTTTTATGTGAGTCTAAAAGGGACAGAAAGCTGGGCATGGTGGCACATGCCTACAATACTAGCACTTGTGAGGCTGAGGCAGGAGGATTGCCATGAGTTCAAGGCTAGCCTGCACTATAGAAGATGTTCCTGTTTCAGAAAATAGAAATAAAGGGTGCAGAAGTTTTAAACAATTTGGATTTATAATTTGCTTTTATAAACTACTCTGGCAAAGAAAGGGGTAGTGTAAGAAATGGCAGAGTAAGGTGGGAAAAAAGAACATCTTGGGGACAGGTGGCCAGCAATTAGGATTAAATGCTGGGAATCTGCTTGATCTGAACATATCTTCTGCCCCTACCTTAGTGCTTGGCATTGAGAAAAGAGCTGATTAATATTTGTCAACTGATGCATCAATGAATGTTGCTGTGGTTTAGATATGGTCCGATGTTTCCCTCCAAGTTTCAGATGCTGGAAGCTTGGGCTCCAGTACGATACTGGAGATGTAGTGAAATATTTAAGTGAGGCCTAGTGGAGGGTGATTCTATGATGGGGTGGAGGGCTCCAGAAAAGACTAATGTAGTTCTCACAGGACCCCTCTTAGTTCCCACAAGAATGAACTGTTAGAAAAGGAGGAAGCCTGGCCCAGGAACACTCTGGCTTTCTGCCTCATGATGTGTACCTGCTATTGTGATGCATCCTCCAGGAAGCTCTTGTCAGAGGACAAGACAGATGGGGCCATCCGAACTTGGACATCCAGCCTCCAGAATTGTAAACAAAATTAACCTCTTTTCTGTACATTTTTCAGCATTTCTTTAGAGCAACAGAAAATAGACTAATGTAAATGTTAAAATCAAGACTAGAAATCAAGTCTCTCTTCTCCAGCCAATGCTTGAACAAGTCGCAGACATAATCTTACAGCATTGCCTCGAACTTGTAGCAAAAGTCCCAACACCCCGCCTCTCTCACAAGTACATTCCAGCCAGGTTAGTTGCACTTATTTGATTCTTGCAAGCAGTCTTTATAAAATAAAAAGAGTATAGTTGTCTTTCTCCCTTCATCCTACTGCCTGAAATGCAGATATGATGGAATGGAACAGTGCAATACATACACGGGCCCTGGGCTATGGACACGAAGGATGACGAGGAGAAACAAGCCTGGGCCCTGTGTGCCTGCTGTTACCATACCTGCCCCAAATTGCTTGCCCTCAGACTTCTTTTTACAAGACAGAAATAAATTTCTGTGCTTCCGAACCACTGTTATTTGGGCTGTTGTTCTACAGACAGGGAAAGCTAATCCTGTCATGTGGATAAACCCCAAACCTCTGTAGACAGTGGGGATCAGTGACAGTATGACAGTCCAGGAAGCATCCAGTTTCACTAACAGCAGCGTCCAAGAGTCAGCTTTGCTGTTGCCTGGACCCGATCACTAACCCTTCGGACCTTGAACCAGGTGCCTGTAAGTTGTAGGGCAGTACTTGCGATAGAGATTTTCCACCAGGGTGTTACTTCCTTTAATTACAGTCTTCTTCCCCTGGTTCATGTGATTCCACAAATGCAGAGCGTAAGAGTTATTGAAGGTTGGTTCTGTGTCCCAAACTTCATAGTAGCGCTTCCAGTGTGAAAAGGAAATGGGATAAAATCTGTGGGGGTGTAGGAAAGACATGTTCTGACATCTGTGGTCACTGAGCTCTTGGAAGTCGCGCAGTTTGCACCACAGCCTCAACATCCTTGTTATCAAAATGGGACCTTGGTTACCCCAGATGTGTGAGTTGTAGTGTTCAACAAAATTTTCCATGCATTCCCACAAGAAGGGGTGATGGGGTAGGAACCCAAATACCCCATTACTAGAGACTTGAGAAGACTGTGCGGCTAAGAAGTTTTCCTCGGGGATGGGTCTGATGGAGATGACATCGGTGTCCATGTAGATGCCGCCGTACTTCCAGATGATGGCCAGGCGGGATGCGTCGGAGCTGACGTGGAGCCAGTGTTTCTCTGCTTTGCTGTTGATCTGGGGGAGCAGGTACAAATCAGCCCCACACAGTGAGGAGAGGGAGCAGTGGCCCAGAAGCCAGGCCCAGAGCAGCTGGGGAGGGGTGAAGCAACCCAGCTTCCCCAAAGCCTATTTGGCCTCAAGCCCAATCTCACAAATTTTCCCAGCTAAACTCCCCCGCCCCCCTCTTTAAGTAAAAAGTTTCAGTGATTAGTATCAAAGGAAAAATTTGAGCAGCTTTTAAAGTTTTCATATTTAATTAAACTGGTAGAAAGGTAAAGAAGAAATCCCACAGGAATTGCACAGTGAGCCATTCTTTCATGTGGAAGTACATCAACTACAAACATGAAACTGGGAAGGAAGAGCTAAGAAAACAAAATGTCCTCAGAAAATGCTAAAACTTGAAAGAAAAAATAAACTAGGAAATTGGGGAAATCAGTATTTATGCTAGTTGGGAAACTAGTCAATGAAAATCTTAAATCTATGCATGTGTTTGCTCATTAATTACCTTAATAATATTCACTGAGGGCCTATGTTGTTAAAGACTATGGGTTGTTTTTTTTTTTTACTATGATTTTTTTTAAATGTATTTGGCTGTTATAGGGTCTCACTACCCAGCTCAGATTCATGGTGATCCTCCTGCTTTCAGTCTCCCCAGCTCTGGGATTACAGGCGTATGCCACCACACCCGACTCTTGCCAGCTCAGTGGTACTGGGGGTTGAACCATGGTCCTTGTATTTACCTAAGCTTGCCTAAGCAGGCACTTTAGTCTGCTGAGCTCTCTCACTAGCCCCAAGACTATGATGTTATTAAATACTGCTGAGGGGGTACAAAGGGGCAGGATGGGGCGTTATACTATAATTAGGTTCCAGCAGAAACTTCAATGAAATGGTTGCGTGAACTATTGCCATATGTGGTCTAGGTAGGAGACACAGCAAGTTCAAGGGCCCTGAGACAGAATCACACTGCTACAGAGTAGACACTGAATAGAGAAGGGAAAGGGGCAGAGGATGACAACAGAAAAGGGGAGGGATGAAGGAGGACAGATCACATAGGCTGGGGTCAAGATTCTCAAGTTATTTGAAAGGTTTAGAAGAAAGGAGTGATGATACGAATTGGTTTTCATTCATTTTTGGCTATTGTGTAGAAAATAATCTGGGGCAGGAGTGGGAGATGACAAGGACAGAGGTGAAGAAGCAAGTTAGGAGGCTGTGAAATAATCCAGGCAGGTGATGGTGATGGCTTGGGCCAGGATAACAACTCGGTGAGAGAAGTTGGAAGATTCTAGGCACATGTGGGAAATGAAGTTGGTCAGGCTTTGCTGACAGATCTGATGTTGGACAGGAGATGATGGGGTCACAGGATGGGGTGCACTTGCTGTTTCTCCTACCTAGACCAGATACGGCAATGGTTCACTCACCCATTTCATGTGAATGTGTTAAAATGTGAGCACGACAGTAATTTCCGAACTCAGGAGGCTGAGGCAGGAAGATGGCCATGAGTTTGTTGCCAGCTTAGGTTACACTACATAGTACACTCAAGGCCAGCCTGAACTGCAAAGTAAGACCCTGTGTCAAAAAAAAAAGTGAGCAAATCAAGATTTCTTTCTAAAACAATAAACATAAATCAATATAAATAGCAATATTCTCATAGGGAATGCTAAAATTCCAAATACAAAAAGTAAAATATATTTTTTAAATTTAAAGATTGATTAAAAGACTAAATAATCATCTTTGGCTTTTGGCAAAAAGAAAACATTCTTTCAAAATTCTGCTACAAAATCAAATGAGAGTAGGTCAACTAAAACTCTCCAGAAATCTTCCCAAGTTGTTTCATACTGTTTCTAATTGTTGAAGACCTAACACATAGTAATAATTTGTTTCCAAGCTCTTTGTAATTTACATAAATCCTTAAAGTAGATTATATGACTGTTCTTACATTTCAGGTGAAAAATTAGAAGTGTGGACATATGGGAAAGGCAAGGAGTGATTCTTTCCTCAAGCCTCTGCAGGGAATGTAGAGAAAATGGCCCTGTTGATGCCTTGGCATTGACCTGGTGAAACTAACATGGGGCTTCTGGCCCCCAGAACAAAAGGGATGAACACGATGTGGGTTAGGATGTTAAAAGCCACGCAGACAGTGAGCAGCATTAGATTAAACTTCAATCTGAAACACAAGAGCTCCAATGGAGGTGAAAATGAGAAAAGGGCTTGGGGTACTGACTGCTCAAAGAACAGTTGCCCACCCCCCACTCTATGCCCACAGTACTCATTCCAGGGCAACTTCAAGGGCTACAATTGCCCAGATCACTGTGGTAAATTCAGTGGGTTCTAGCAAGTGATGCTACTTTGGCTCCTGTCTAACAGGTGCCCTCAGATATTCAGTGATAGCCTAAATGGGGCAGAACATGACACAGCCCAGCACGCCAAGGGTATCATGGCTTGAACACTGTGGATATTAGCCTAGTATGGTGCCATGTAGGGGAGATAGAATGGACACTCAGGGGCTCTGCATCTCAGGATCCACCTCTCTTCTAATACCCAACCTATAAAATTTAGGTGTAGCTCAGAGCAACCCAAGTTATGTTCTACGGAACATTAATTCCAATAAGTTATTTCTGCATCACACTGAAAGAGGGTTCCATGCTTCCAAATAAGTTTAGGAAGTAATGAGTTGAATCAAATTAAAGTTTATTTCATTTAGAACCATAAAGAGGCATGATTTGTCTGTGAGAAAAGGATGTCATAATGAGGCATCTCCCCAAGCAATGTAATTAGGGATTTCTTTTTCCAAGGACTAAAACACAATTTAGATAGTGTTAGTCTAATCTGGCTATGGGAAATATTGGTATAGTCTGGGAGCAGGCTAACTGTGGGGATCTAGGTGAAATAGCCCCTCTACCCAGCACCTCTTCCTGGGTCTTCTTTTATTTATTTACGAAAGTAATTTTATTCATGAAAATAATTTCATTTATTAAATTCAGAAATTCTTATCATTAAATTCATTTCTAACCCAATCATGCTCAAATAGCTACTGTAATCATGTGTTGTTGTTTCAGATCTTTTTTTCCCCAAGAAATGTTAGTAGTAGTTACAAAGCCAAAGTCATTACAATGACATTATACTATGAAGGGGGTTTTAATCCCCTATTGTCTTATAGTCTTCATAAAAGTCACTTTAAAAAATCATAAAGCCTGCCTAGCAGAATCATTGAGTGATTACGCTGTAATTTTGTTAAGTATTACTTGAAAGTAGAAGAAATATTAAAGTGAAATATTATTTTATTATTTTGTTATGATACTAAAATGAGGGTTATAAAATTCCTAAGAGCTCTAGAAGTTTCTCAACCATATCTTTATATACCCCAATTTTATGCAATACCTTTCCACTGAACCTTCATGAATTTTTTACTTACATCATTTCATATTATATAGCACCTGGTTTCTGCCTTGGTACAAAAACAGTTTAACATATATGAGTTTAAAACTATAATGAAAAGTAACTACAACCCACATCTAGAAAATATATTTACAAATTCATTCTGTTGAGAATAGCCTCCAAATTAAGCTAGATCCTGAAAGCTAGAAGCAAGACACCAGCTCAAACATAAATCTAACTTAAGTGTCACCTGTTCTTCTAAAAAAGGGTTCATGAGTAACAAGAAAGAGTCAGAGGGGCTAGGTGTACCAGGCTCATCTCTGCCTTGAGTCCTAAGCCCCCACGTCCCCATCTGCACAAAGAGTAAGCCAGATTCACTTTCTGTGGGTCCTCTGTTGGCTCCTCCCAACACTGCTGTCTAAGTTTCCCTGAACACTTACGTGAGTGTACCATGAAAACAAGGGTGTGTCTTCAAACAGCCTGTTCAGATCCAAAGGGGAAAGGAAAACATTGTCCATTGCTGAGAGGAGGGACAAGCCTGGGTGACTGGAGTTGGAGGGTGGCTGTGTGGAGTGGTTGAGCCCTTTCATGAAGAAGACCACAGGCTGCTCAGGATAAGTCTTGGCGGCAGACTCCACAGCACAGGATACCAGTGGGGGTGGCTCCAGTCTCTCTGAAGTCTCTAGAAACACAATACTGTGTCCCTGGCTCAGGAGGGCATCCAGCCCCTGCTGGAACTTGGAGGAAGGCAGGCAGGAGAAGAGGCAGTAGGACCTCAGGGTGATCTGGTAGAGGAAGCCACAGGCCAGCAGCAGGACTATAGACAGGGAGAACTGAAGCTCCTTCAGCATGTCTACTGCTCTTTCTGAAGCTCTCCTTTAACCAACACAGTTCATTAAAGTTCACATTCGTGGAGCATGCTAGAGATAGAACACACACACGCACGCACGCACGCACGCACGCACGCACAAAGATGTAAGAATATTACTTTTGAATAGAGAGGAAAGAAATCCCAAATGAAATATGATCAAGTCCAGCAGTATCAAAAAGGAAAATTTATCATAACCATTAGGATTATCCTGAATTTAAGGGTGTTTTAATATAGGAAAAATAATTCATTATTATAAAAGCTATTAATGAATGAACTGTCTTAGGAGAATACACAAGAAAATCTATATTATCATTTTGGCTCAATAGATGCAAAGAATGTGACAAAATCTGACATCCATTCATGATGCTTTTTAAAATATAAGAAAACTTTCTTGCCAAGAAAGTTTCTTGTGTGGTAGTGCACACCTGTAATCCCACTAATCCCACTCAGAAGGCAGAGGCAGGAGGATAGCTACAAATTCAAGGCCACCTTGGCTACATAGTAGTTCAAAGCCAGCCTGAGCTTCATAGCGAGACTCTGTCCCTAAAAAGAAAAAAATAAAAAACACCACAAGCCTCTTTCTTAAGCTGATAAATGATGTCTACTAGAACATATAGTAATCAACATACTTAATATGAAGCATTTGAAGCATTGGTCAAGATCAATAATATGATTCATCATCACTGTTACTATTCAATATCATTCTGATAATCCTAACCAATGCAATGAAACAAAAAGCAATTTCTACTATGAATACAAGTATTAGAAAAGCAAAAGCTTCACGTGTCAGAAAATATTTCACATCTAGAAAATCCAAGATAATTTATTGGAAAACTAATATAACTAAGAACATTAACCAAGGAGACAAACCAAAGGTTACAAAGCTAAACAATTGCCAAGATCATATACTTTGCAACTAGCTGCGATTCCAAACCAGGCTCTAAACCAGCAAGACTGTGCCTGCCTTACCATAAATGTTAGCTCTAACTAGAGCTAAATCCAGGAGAACAGTGATCTCAATTCTTGGGAAATCTATTTTTCACATTTCATGTAACTCTTGCAGAAAATACACAGCAAATAAAGCAAGGCTTACCTTGAAGCCAGAAACTTGTAGTCAGCCAGTATTTGAGGCCTTACAAACGCGGACAAGTGTTTCCTGTATACTTTCTGATAAATCGCCACCCAATCTTTCAGCTGAACAATATAAGGATAAGTAAATCATTGGTAAATGATTAAGGCTAAACTTAACAAGTCCCTAGGAAGCTCCTCCCTTTGCTAAGTCCCCCTAAAACAAATCCTGGGATATAACAGGGATGTCATAAGATTACTCAGGTGACCACACACTAATCCCATCTGTTTGTGGAGTTATCATGCGCTTTAAGGGGATAATTTCACCTAGAGGAAACTGTATCATACCATAACTCTGGAACCAGTTAAAACCTACACCTGATCAGCTCAGCTTAAACTCATGGGTAGATATTTTGGAAAGGTTATTCACCAGACAATCGTATAAATTGATAAGGCTCCTCCTTTGTTTGTTTGTTTGTTTGTTTGCTTTAATGTATTTGATACAGGGTCTCGATACATAGCTCCAACTCACAATGATCCTCCTATTTTCAACCTTCCCAGCACTGGGATTACAGGCATGTGCCATGATGCCCACTCTCAGTGGCCAGCCCAGAGCGCCCAGGGGTGGGGCTGGCATGGCATGTGGTGCCAGGGATCAAACCCCAGTCCCTGCACTTGCCTAAGCAGGTGCTTAGTCTGCTGAGCTATCTCGCCAGTCCTCAAGGGTCCTCCTTTTCAAAGAACTGAAAAGCAGCATCACCACAAATAAGTGGTAGACAAACCCCACTAGTCCAAAGGCCCAGTGATCTAAAATGAGAATGGGTTCCTCAGGATCCACTGTAGTGGCTGCAGGAATTATTCTCGTGCCCTGATGCTCCTCTGTAGGGTCTGACTCTCCTCCTAGTCTCACAAAGTCAGATTTGTCACCTTAAACTGGTGTGGCAGTCTCTATACCTCCCAAGGTATTTTCACTCTCCCATGGTCTTTTCCCCATCGCCCCTGCAATGAGCACTTAGGAAGCCTCTTTGGGATAAACTTCCACTGAGAGGAACCACCTGTCCTTAGTTCAGAGCTTTCTCCCCACCGTGACCAGGTACCCACAATCCCTCCAGATGCTCTGGGGTGAATAGGAAAGTACCTGTCTCAGCAGACTGTATATGTAGAAACAGCAGGTCTTGCCTTAAGGAAGTTAAAGTTGTCTCATATGGTGATGGCTGTGGTCCTCACTGTGCCTGGGGATCCCAGAAACAGCTCTTGTCTGTCCATCTGCCTCTTCCTTTTGGAGTTTAGTTCCTTTTCTGGACCTCATCAGTTTTGAACTCAATAAGCTTTGGCCTCCTTCCCAAGTTGCTTAGCACTGATTAGATTGGGCTTCCTTTTCTTTCCTACAGAGAGGAAGGGAGATCAATGTTCCTGCTCCCTGTTTGTGGGTGACTGGAAAGCTGCATTTGTAGAAATGACACATCCCTTGTCTCAGGTGAGTTGCTCATATTGGTGCTTTCCAACTGTTTGCCTAAGGACTCAAGATAAAAGCAGTGGAGTCAATCATCTTTGTCAGGCAGGAATGATGTGGGCACTCCATGAAATCCTAAGCACAATAGGTTGGTTCAGTTGAGCCAAGTCAAGGGAATGATGGGAATAGCACTGGGTTTGTAATTTACACCTCCGTCAAATCCTAAGCACAATAGGTTGGTTCAGTTGAGCCAAGTCAAGGGAATGATGGGAATAGCACTGGGTTTGTAATTTACACCTCCGTCAAATCCTAAGCACAATAGGTTGGTTCAGTTGAGCCAAGTCAAGGGAATGACGGAAATAGCACTGGGTTTGTAATTTACACCTCCGTCTATCAGAAGCCAAAAGCACCAAGAGCAATCTCAGAGCCTTTGTTTTTTTTTCCATAATTTTATTGATAAACAAATAGCAATGAGACAGTTTCAAATCAAATTGGTAGGACAGTTTCAATAATTAACACATTGCGTACATTCCTCCCAGTGGTTAATTGCTGTACAAGATGAGGACATGATATCCTATCTACAAACACCATTAGAACAAATCACTCTATTCATTAAGAGAATGTGACTATATATCTATCCTAACAACTTTGAATACACAGATACAAAATGGACATTCATCTGTATACCCTTTTTTGTTACGTTCCCTTATTTGAATATTATAGGTGTGTTAACTCAGCAAAATAATCTAAAAGAGTTCAGTAGTCCATAATAGTATTGGGTCTTCCGCTTGACTGGCAATGTCAGAAATTGTTGACCTGAGTCCCCTACAGCTTAACATAACTGCATGGGTTTACTTCTTATATTTCATTTTTATACTTTTCTGCTGGATGGTTAAGACCAAGGTAAAGCAGGACCTATGCAACAAGCGTTGTAGCTTTTGGGTCTGATAAGGTCAGTGAAATCCCCTCAGGATTTATCCTGAGATCCTGTACTTCAGATTGTTTGTCAGTGTCAGCCATGTGGATGAGTCACAGCCATTGCTTGGCCAATGTGCTCTCTGTGAAAGCCTGAGAGAATGTTTTCTCTCTATGTGACTCTCCTTAGGCACACTCTACATCATCGATCACTTTCCTCTTTGGCCCCATAATCTCCTTGATCAGAAAATTTGGGACACTGCCGAGTTATATGACGTTACAGTGCAAGTTCTCATATGTCCTGCAATCTCAGAGCCTTTGTAAAGAGCAGAAAATAACTGACATCAGGCTCATTGTGAGCATGAACATGCTCTCTAACCCACCGAAGCAACTTCCGCTTTCCACCAAGGAAAGAAAGGAAATAGTATGAATGGAGATGGTATCTGGACATCCTGATAAAATCATGAAATTATTTTATTTCTTCAGAAAAAGGAAATCTATTTCCCAGTGAACGTTTAGGAAGGTATTCCTTAACCCTGTGTGAGAGTGATGTGTTCAGGTCACAGCTACCTGGGGTCTCTTCAGGCTCGCAGTGTGATGGCCTTTCCAAGTCTTTCTAAGAAAGCCTGTTACCTGAGCCACCACACCTAGAATGTCTAAAGGCCCAACACCTAGAATGTCTTCTTCCTTCTGGTAAGAAGAACAGAGCTGCCTTTCCTTCCTTTGGTATCTTTCTGCTGCACCATGGTCTCTCACTCCCACTCTCCCATTGGTTCAGGTGGACCTCACAGCAGCAGATCTTAGACTCCACAGATCCCTCGAGGCTGCAAGGATGGGCTTCAGGGAACCCTGAACCATTGGGGCACATCTTGCCTCAGTCCCTTAAACTTGGAAGCCAGTTATACACATTTCCTTCTACTATCACCTTCTCTAAGGAATGTCACTGCTCTGACCTTACATGACACTAATTCTGTTCAAAATTTCTTCAGATTTCTTTACTACATAATCCCAGGCTTCCAACTAACCAAAAAACTCCAAAGAACCCAATATAGATATGTGATTAGACAAAGAGCTCGGACATGTACAAACAGACAGTGATAGTCACTGTCCTAGGAATTTGTGCTTCATGTGAGTGAGTTCTCCATTTTAACATATCCAGGTATGATCAGTACCACACTTCGAACCCTGAGTAATTTCTGCTGACTGACAAGATCTTAGGAAATGTGAATTGGTGTAGCCTTGAGTAAACAAATAGGGTAGGAAAAATATCCCTGAACCCAATCTTATTTCTTACAATTTTGTTCTTTGGATGTTTGGGCTAGCATAAAGAAGCAGACCAGGGGTGTAAACCCCAGAACAGAAAAGGGAGAGTTCTCCAACTCCTCGGTCCTGTGATAACCTCAAGTACAAATAGTCCAGTGTTTTAAGGATAAGGCAGGGAAAGTTAAAGGAATTTTTAACAATAAGTGTGTGTTGACTTGAATTGCCTATGAAAAGCACACCTTCTGTAGCTTCTTTGAACTCAGATTTATGGCAAGTAGGAAATGTTCAAGCAAGCAGTACTTGTCCTATTTGATTTGGAGGCTTTAGAGGCACAGTTCCGGTTTTTAACATATTTGTTAAGCAAATGGAATTGATAAACTTGTAAAAAGCATCAGCCTTTAAAAGGGCAAAAAGAATACACAAAGTGATATCTTATCAACGTTGCCATTTCTTTGTCTACTGTTCTGTGGCTGGAGCAAAAGTGGGAGGGTTAGCCCTACAGAAGTGAAGGAAAAAGGGCAGGACAGAGGTATTTCGCTGGGGAAAGAGAAAGAACCCATAGCATGGTACTTGGGCAGCCCTAGAGAAAACAGAGTAGTGGATATGTACTGAGGAGAGACATTACATCCAGAATAAAATAGACATTTATAAAACATCAATGATTTAGCAGCAGAGTAAAATCTCCTTGTCCAGTGGAAATATTTTTAACTAGTTTATATCTCTAATAAAATGGTCCTTGCCTTGCATTTCTGTCATTTTGTTCTTCACTTGGCCATACTAGTTAAACACGCTTCTGTTTACAGAACCGTAGTTAACTACCTCTAATGTGTTTCTGTGTTTATTCTGGAAATTATTGCATTCACACATGTGATCACCACACCCCTTTTAAATGTACTGGAGGATAAAAAAAAGTTGATGGGGGATAAAGGCAGAGAGATAAGAGAAAAATTATTGTGCTCAATGAACAAGGTGTGCTTCACCATCCACTTACAAAGGCTAAAAAATAGGGTCTGCAAGAGGCCTACAGAGGACAGTGGCACCTTTTGGAGAGTGGGCCGTTTGAAGGAATTTTGCTATTAAGTTCTATAAGCCAGAGTATAGTTCCTTTATCCTGTAAGGAATCAGGAGTGTCTTAGAAACACCTACACTGTATCCATACAGCACAAGTTGTCATTCAGATGGTGAAGTGAGAGTGTCTCAGTATGGAGAAACTGCTACGGACAGACTATTTATGTCCCCCTGAAATTCATAGGTTGAAGCCCTACCCCAATAGCTCTCAATGAAGGATATTTAGAGGTGGGGACTTGGAGAGGTAGTTAGGTTTGGATTAGAACCTTCATAAGAAGGGGATCTCCCTGTGTGTTCCTGACTCTCTTTCTGTCTCTGTCTGTCTGTCTCTGTCTCTCTGTCTCTCTGTCTATCTCTGTGTGTCTGTCTCTATCTCTCTGTCTCTTTGTCTCTCTCCCGGTC